CGGGCGGTGGCTGAGCCAGCGGGCATTTCTCCTCACCGTCCGGAGGCCGGAGCCCAGGGCGGAGGGTGGGCGGGGCCGGCTCCCCCCGAGGCCGCTCTCCTGGCGTCCCTGGCCTTTCCTCGGGGCCCTGTGTCCTAACCTCTTACAAGTCACCCTGGTGACTGCTTTCACCCAACCACCTCTTTCCGGGCCCTCTCTGCAGACGCAGCCGCGGTTCGAGGCCTTGGGGGTTAGGACTTCACAGAAGATCTTTGCTGAACACAGTTCAGCCCACAGGCCCCACTGCTCCGCCCACAGAGGGTGGCCTGGCCCCTCTCTGCCCCTCGGGGTCCCCTCTGGCCTGTGTGACCCCGTGTCCGGCCTGGCACAGCCTCCCCCGGCTCAGCCCCTCCCATACCCCATCATTTAAATGAATTTGCATACATCGCTTCCCATGCGCCTTGTCAAACGGCCGCACCCCCAGCACCAGCACCTGTCGCTGCCGGTGACGCCGCCCGAGACCCGGCAGGAGCGCACTGGTTCCGGCAGATAGGCGGGCCGAGGCCTCCGAGTGGGGCTGAGGCGCTGAGGTGCAGGGAGCGGGCTCCATTGGCACCAGGTTATGTGCGGCTGCAGGCGCATAGATCCTCGGGGCACAGGCCGGCTACGCATCGGGCAGCGGATTGTTTTGTAAATAAAATCTAGGGGCTCGAGCGGCCTGGCTGGTATTGCTCGAGGGGAGGGGGCAGATTTACGAGCCTGGGAGGGGGCGGGCATTGCGTCCACCCAGCACCTGGGCCCGTGTGTTCCAGGGCCTCCCTCCAATGACCCTCACACCCAGGAGTCTGATGACCAGGGTCAGGGCATGAGTGTGCCCAGGGCCAGGCTCAGAGCTCAGGTGATGCAATGAGGTGCCCTTGCCCTAACAGATAAAGTCTAAGCTCCTTGGCCTGTGCTCCATCCCTTGACCAATATTTGACGATGAAAACCGCCGGCTGCACGGACGTCCTGGGCCCGCCGGGCC